GTGTTCCGGATTTTTAATATAAATTTTAACGGTATGTTCTACGATCTAAAAATAAAAAAAAGTATTGTATATATATACATTTTAGTTCCTAAAATATTTTATTAAAAGTTATAACAAAAATATAGAATATGTCCGAAATGATTGACCTAATGTTGCATTTTAAAGTGCGCATTTTAAAATGCGTTCTGCCCATATCAGTATAAGCTTAATATCAATGTAATTCTGAATTTATCGTCTTTTTAGAAAAGGATAGAAGAAATCCCAGTGTATATACAGTGTCCCGAAAGTTTTTGCCAATCGCTTTTGTGTAGATAGAGCGGATTAAACTGAGCCGAAAAGTCCTCTACTATTTTGCAATTTTTGTAATAGTTAATAAGATATTAATTACTAAAAATTGCTAAATATTGGTCTTGAATAATTTTTTATTCAAATACTATCAACTTTCTAGAAAAGCTGCACCAGACAAAAATTATTTATTTTCTTCTCATAAAGTTCTGAGAATCTTTTCAGAATTTTTTCAGAATTTTTTAATACCGTATTTTCTCATGTTGGTAAAAATAAAAAAAATACAGTACTATAAAGTTGATAAAAAATTCCGAAAAAATTCTTAGAGTTCTATGAGAAGGAAATAAATGATTTTTGTTTGTTGCAGTTTTTATGTAAAGTTGATAGTAAAAAATTATTCAAGACCAATATTTGGTAATTTTTAGTAATAATATCTTGTTAACTAATTGCAAAAATTGCAAAATGGTAGAGGCCTTTTCGACTCTGTTTAGTCCGCTCTACACAAAAGCGATTGGCAAAAACTTTCGGAACACCCTGTATATATAAAGGTTTGCCCTTCATTAATTTGGGCGGATGGCACTTTGACCTGCAAAAGTAAAAATTATTTCTTACACATTTCATATTTTTGTTAACTTTTCATAACTTTTTAATAAAGAATTTCAGAAGTTACATGTTTATACAATATATATATTTTTTTTTCAATGCATAGAGTATATACTGTTAAAGTTTGTGTAAAAAATCCGAAAACAATCCTTGTATAGTAATTTCGCGGTGAGTTGTGCTGGAAAAATCGTATATACAATGATATATACAATTATATCAATTATATATAATTTTATATAGTTATATATAAAACATTTTTTCTTTGGTAAGAATCAAGTAATTCTCAAATTTTCGTAAATAATGCATGATGAAATTTTTACACAGCTATTAAAATGATACGAATATTATACATCATATATGTTTTAAAATTATACATCAAAGTATTTAGTAGTTACTCATATGCAACATAAAACTAACATAAAAACCATTACAGATACGCCAAAACAGTAAACGTTATATTTAACCAGGTGCTTTTCGTTCAATTCTTTGTAAGCATACTGGTAATATGTACAAGTGTGTATTATCTGTCAATACATATTACAGAATTGTCTAGTACTGTAACTTTTTTAATATACACCATTGGCATGTTTATACAAATCTTCATTTACTGCTGGTCCGGAAACGAAGTCATGCTTAAAGTAACTGTCATGTACGCTATATAATCCATACGAAATACATGTAATTTACCGATTTTGTACGTTAATGAAAAATGAAGGGTACTTTTGGACAACTTAATTTTTTTTATAAGGGTTTGCAAAATAATCTAACAAATTATTTGTCCACAATAAATTTAAACTATTTTATACTTGAATACAATAAGAATATATTTAATGCATACACGTCCATGCACGCGCGTGTATAAGACTGTATAATAATATCATTAACCATTAATATATTTTTAACCTTTTAATCTTTTTTAATATCATTAAAATTGTTCGATATTCTTATGTAATAATAATTCTATTTGTATTATGTTAATAGAGTACGAGTATAGCAGACGCTATATATCGTATGAATTGGCCGTTATTATCAATCAATGAAAAAAAAGGATTGTTGATGATCATGATACGCAGCACAATTCCTGTAAAGTTCACAAGCAGCTTCTTGATAACTTTATCACTTCAGTCTTTTAGCAACGTTAGTATGTGATTTGGTATCAAAATAAATATTTGACATAGTAGTCAAAAACATGAAGATATGCTATTTTTGATATTATAGATATTTATCGCATATGTACGAAAATACAGTTGGAATATTTCACATAAATGTGTAATCTTCTACGTATATCAAAGTTTTTCTTATTTTTCTTTCAGATCCTGAAAACGTCATATTCAGCATTTAGCGTTTTACAAAAGTAAAGTATTTATAATCAAAAATATATATGAAAATGATGTATACTGCAGTATAAGAGTGCAGGTCTTAGTATAGTATAGTTTTTAGTATAATTTTTTTTAGTACAGTTTTAATAAATTAAATCTTATAATTTAATTTTTACTCATGTATTTTTACTTCTAACATTACTCCTTGTTCCAATTATTTGAATATTGGTGCACGCGGGGATAGGCACGCACATACATACGTACATACTAAATGTACAGTGAGTACAAAGAGTATTCGTACATACTAAATGTACAGTGAGTACAAAGAGTATTCGTACAGAGAAAATATTTTTTTAAATAACTTTATTTTAAAAAATTAAATATTATCCAGCGAAAAATAAGTCATCGAAATGATGTCGAATTGATATCGATACGATGATTTCAACACCAATTTGACATCGGTTCGACGTTTAATTGATGATCATTTCTTGCTGGGTGATTAACAATTTATTCATAAAGTATAAAATTGATTGTAGGTTTTTTAAAATTATACATACCAAAAAAAGATGTGTATTAATTATAAAAAATATATCATCTGAAAAATAAGCGAAAATTAAAAGTTCCATTGTTTGAATGCTCAAAAAGTATTCGTACAATCAAGAAATTTAGCTTATAATATCTGAAGTACATGTGAAGGTCATTTGTATATGTTAGAACAGAATATCTTTATTGTATAAAATTGCTAATTAATATTTATTTTCTACAAATCAAATATTTTTATAAAAAATTTTCTTTGACGAATACTTTTTGCTGTCACTGTATAACACAATGTAATACATACAATAATGTATTTCAATATACCTAAAAGCAGAAATCATATTAAATAGAATGTTAATTGAATTTAAAAAATATATTTCTTTTTATACGTTACCTATACCTTCAATATTTTTTTGCGCACTACATCCTTTATTAGAAATAATTCACAATTTTCCAATTCACTCTCCAACATACTCTCCATATTTAATTTTTAATTAAATTCCTACAATAGAAAATCAATGCACAATTCGAAATATACATGTATATGTATATATGATTGTTATATTTTTCGGACCACACACTTGCCATATTTTGCAGATATATACGAAGAAATAACTCAAGAAATCTATCAGAAATTTATTACACATCACTTTTATCGCTATACTGGGTCTTGCACTTATATGTAATAAAGAGACTTTGCGGAAAATATGATATTCTTTGTACCTCTGACAAACATGAAATATTTTATTAAACGGGAAATAATATGCTTGACCGTAAAGAACGATACCCCTCGATGGTTAGAAATAAAAACACTTTTACGGTTATTATATTATTCACAAGAATGCAAGAGACATACATTCCATAATAAATGATTAAATGACTCCACGACGACTTTTTTTAATGACCGTAATTGATGGTACTGCGGTTGACAAGATGTTGAAGAATAAACTGTACGTAGTCTATTGTAAGACGTGCTCAGTTACATTTAATATAACATATTTAAATGAAATTAAAAATAACATATTACATCAGTGTCAGTATTTGTTAATCCTGTTATTACTAGCTAAAATTATAAGAAGATATTCCAAAAAAGGTGCGTAGTAAATATATATAAATACTATTTTTGCAATTTTATTCACACGAATCATACACTGTACTGTAAATAAGTAAAGTTATCAGCAATTCAAGCTACATATGTATGTAATTGTAAACAGTTTGTAAGTTAAATAAATAAAATTTGTTGCAAGTGGACGCAATTGTTAATCAATGTATGATTTAAATATTAATTTGTAGTATTTTTACTAAAAGCATAATCTATTTTATAAAAAATTATACTACCTTCTAAAATTATACTACCTTCTAATTAAATTCAATTTTTCTCAAACATAATATGTACGGTTTTAATTAATATATTTCAGAAAATATAATTTTCAAAATGTTTTAAACCACATTTTTAGGTACTTTACATATAGAAAGAAGTTATATTTTTGTTACAACATTTGATTAGTTGTTTAAAAAGAGATCCAATCATGCAAATACTTTCTCTAAATTTTTTTATATATACCGTTGGCGGTATATGGCGACCTGTTGAGTGGTCATCAAATGGTGCCAAGCTGCTGTATAACATATTTACCTTTATGATAATATTCTCGGAGTACTTTTTGGTGTTAACTCAATTTATGGATATAATTCTTATTGTTGATAATGTCGATGATTTTGCCACTAATACTCTAATGTTCCTAACTATTGTTGCCGTATGTTGTAAAGCGACTGTCGTTGTGGTACGTCGAAACGCGATCATCAACTTAGTGCAAATATTGTTGAAAGCACCATGTAAACCTCGAGACGAGGATGAAATAGCTATACAAACAAAATTTGATAAATTCATCAGGTCAGTTCATATATCTTTATTAAAAAGTTCCAATATTAAAATATTATTGCTTAAAATATTTATGCAATAATTCAATTTATACGCATTCAGCGCGTATTATTTTCAAATTGTACAAATTTTATCAACACTAGTTGTTTCTATAACAAATTATGAGTCCTTTACCTTTTGTTAGATATTGTTGACCATATATTTTAGAGCATACTTATGCTTTTATATAAAAATGTAGTAATTTTGTATTCTCTATCTAATTAATAAATTTTTAGTTGAAGAAGTTTCCTATTCCAATATCATTTTAAATATTTAAATTATAGTAATAATTTGCACAACATATGTACAAAGTAGCTCTCTCTCTCTCTCTCTCTCTCTCTCTCTCTCTCTCTCTCTCTCTCTCTCTTTCTCTCTTTAATTATAATACAATAATTTTATATCTTATGATTATAAATTTCATTAAATAAAAAGTATAAATAAATGCTGATACAAATTTATATAAAATTTCATCTCGGTTCTACGTTTGCAGATCAAGCTCGATAAGATATTCACTTTTAGCAACAAGTTCCGTTACAGGCGTTACAATAGGATCAGTACTAAACGTTATGCAAGGCCACCTGCCTTATCGAATATGGCTGCCATATAATTATATATCTACGAAGTTTTGGATTATATCCATTCATCAGATTGTAACTTTAATTTTTGCCACCCTGATAAATGTGGGCACAGAAACCTTAGTCTTCGGATTGATTTTACAAACGTGTGCTCAGCTTGAAATTTTCAAAAGTCGTCTTCACAAGTTCATAATTAAAAAAACAGTTAAATATCTGGGACGTGAAAGCTCTTTGTTGAATGAAGACGAAACAGAATTGTCGGAGTGCATACATCATCATCTCAGCATTTACAAGTAAGTCACGTAAGAATCCGTTTTTACGCGTATATGTTACGTTATATATAGCACGCGCGTGTTGTGTGTGTGTGTGTACATGCATGCACATTTAATTGTTACATTTAAAAACTGGTATTATAGATGACGGTAACTATTAGTATTTATATATAATGAAATATTATTTAATAATAATTGAACTAATTTTGAAATTACATAATAGATAATTGTTACAAGCTGGGAAATAGAACATGTATAATCTCAAAGAGATTTAATTATATTGTGTTCCCGGATTTTTTATACAAAGTTTAACGGTATGTTCAATGATCTAAAATAAAAAAAAGGTATTATATACATGCAATTCCTACAGTACTTTATCAAAAGTTATAACAAAAATGCAGAATATGTACGAAATAATTGATTTAATGTTGCATTTCAAAGTACGCATTTCAAAGTGCAGTTTGCTCATATCACGAGCTTAATATCGATGTAATTCTGAATTTATCGCCTTTTTAGAGAAGGGTAAAAGAAATATTTGTGTAAAAGTTTGCCTTTCATTAATTTGGGCGGGTGGTACTTTGACATGCAAAAGTAAAAATTATTCCTTACATATTTCACATGTTTGTTAACTTTTCATAACTTTTTAATAAAGAATTTTAGGAATTATATGTTTATACAATATAATTTTTTTATTTCAATTCATAGAGTATATACTGTTAAAGTTTTTGTAAAAAATCCGGGAACAATCTTTGTATAGTAATTTCGCGGTGAGTTGTGCTGGAAAAAATACTTCCTACTCGAAAAAAAATGTTTTATGTATAATTATAAATAATTTTATATATAATTATATATAAACATATATAATAATATATACAATTATTTATAAAATATGTCCATTTATATACAATTATATAAATTATATATAATTTTATATAAAACATTTTTTTTCCTGGGTAGGGATCAAGTAATTCTCCAATTTCCATAAATAATGCATGATGAAATTTTTACACAGGTATTAAAATGATACGAATATTATATATCATATGTTATAAAATTACAGATCAAAGTATTTAGTAATTGTTTTACTCATATGCAATGCGGGACTAATATGGAAACCATTACAGATACGCCAAAGCGGTAAACGTCACATTCAACCAAGTGCTTTTCGTTCAGTTTTTTAGTAGTATACTGATATTATGTTCGAGTGTGTATTACTTGTCAATACATATTACGGAACTGTCTGCAGCTGCATCTTTATTAGTATATACTATCTGCATGTTTGTACAAATCTTCGTTTACTGCTGGTCCGGAAACGAAGTCATACTTAAAGTAATTATTATGTACGCTATAATCCATACGAAGTAGATAGGTACTTAACCAATTTTGTGAGTTAATGGAAATGGCGGGTACTTTTGGATAACTTAATTTTTTTTATAAGGGTTTGCAAAATAATCTAACAAATTATTTGTCCACAACAAATTTGAACTATTTTATACTCGAATACAATAAGAATATATTTAATGCATACACGTACGTGCACGCGCGTGTATATAAGACTATATAATAATAATATCATTACGATACTTCGATATTAATAATAACTCTATTTGTATTATGTTAATAGAGTACGAGCATAACAGACGCTATATATCGTATGAATTGGCCATTACTCTCAATCAACGAAAAAAAAGGATTGTTAATGATCATGATACGTAGCACAATTCCTGTAAAGTTCACTAGCAGTTTCTTGATAACTTTATCCATTCAGTCCTATAGCAATGTTAGTATCATTTGGTATCTAAATAAATAGTTTGATGTAGTATATGTCCAATATGAAAATACGTGATTTGTGATAATATCGATGTTTGTTGCGTACGTACAAAAATACAGTCGAAATTTTTTACATAAATGCATTATCTTCTATGTATATTAATGTTTTTCATATTTTTCTTTCAGATTTTAAAAACTTCATACTCGGCATTTAACTTGTTACAGAACTGAAGTATAAATAAAAAAAAAGAATATATGTTTGAGGATGATATATGAAGTATAATTTTGAGTATATATAGTTTTGAGTATAGTTTAGTTTACTTTAGTTTTGAATAGTTTAGTTTAGTTTGAGTATAATTCAGTGTGGTAGGTACAGCTTTTTCAGTATAGTTTTTGATAAATTAGCGATCCTTAATCTTATATAACTTTTGTTTACTCACGTATTTTTATTTCTGACTGTATATGTACCTTATTGGCTTATTCCAATTATTCAAATAATAGCACACCGAGGCAGACACGCACATACGCACGCACTAAATATATATTATACTAAATGTATACATATAATACAATGTAATACATGCAATGTGTATTAATATACGAGCAGATATCATTTTAAATCGAACGTTCATTGAATTTAAAAAGTATAATTAACGCATTACCTTTGATCTTTTGCGACATTATTTATAACCAAAAGTAATTAACTATTTTCCAATTCACTCATCATGTATTTTGCAAGCGGATGTATGTACAGAGTTAGCTTGAAAAATAAGACGCATTATGGGTCTCTCGAATTATATTTCTCGTTACATTATTTTATGTTTGTATGCAACATAAAACAAATTTTTCATACGCAGAGAAAATATGATCTTGCGTTATTATTGGTACAGATAACATGAAAAAGCTGCAAATATTTCATTCAATGGTATTGATTATGGTGATATGATTTCGCCACCGATTCAATAGCTAATTTATTATTATTATTATTATTATTATTATTATTATTAACGCAATTAATGGCCCTATAGGATTAAAAATTTCGCGTTGTAGAAAACTGTTATATATATATTCGCTTTCGTGAAATATATTACACGTTCAGTAATTGGAATTAATAATTATCTCTCTGTGATAGAAATGAGTCATTGGGTGCGTTTCGAATTACACATGAAGCACATATCATTTTATCCTTTTTTATTCTTTGTTGAACAACAAGGACAAATGATATATCATGCATTTTGTGCGTAATTCGGAACACACCCAGAGTAATTTAATGAGATGGTTGCTTTTACCTACAAATCGATTGCCTATAGTATATTTGCCTACATCACTTTTGCCTACAGTTCGATTGTCTATATGTATTATTGTTTACAGCTCGATTGCCTACATGCGCTTTTGCGCACAAATAAAAATTTTAGAAACGGAGTTACTTTTGCCTACATGTACTATTGCCTACAGCTCGATTGCCTATAGCGCTTTTGCATACAAATACCAAATTTTAATGAATAAATTATATATAATAATGCGAGCTAGGTAGACATGTAAACAACTGCTAATGTTCGGCAACCTATTTTCTCACATCCTAGATATACATTACAACATAAAACGAATGCAATATTAATTACAATTATGTGGAACGTATAGACACAAAACGTCAATTTATGTTGTCCATCGACAAGATTATCAATCGGTTTGAAACCTATCATTCTATCGTCGTATGATTACGGAAATTATAAACTGCTCTCTAAATTGCTGTTAGGTATGTATATGTGTGTATGTATGTGTATTATAAATGTGACTTGGTTAACTGAAATCGATAGCATTATTGAGCCCAACTACTTAGAACGATTATATTTAAATCAAGTAATAAAAATCAATAGAAGCGTGCACCAATTGAGGGTGCGACTGAAATATCCTTCTCAGACACACACTTTATTATAGCGCAAAAATGTCGATAAATTTTTTTTACATAGACATCTGCTTCTTCGAACTTCCCGATTATAAAAGATAGAAAACAATAGAAATAGAATTACGAAAGTATAATATATTTATTAAAAAAATCATTTCCTATTGTAACCTATGGCTTTTTGTATTTCAAAAGAAATGTGCTCGGAAATATTATGTGTTATCGCTTCCCATCATTTTCTTATACTGTCAATTAAAAGCGGATTCATTTGTTGAAATACGACAGAAATCTTATAATAACTTATTTATCTTTATAATTTTGATAGAATTTATTAATGAATGACTTTTATTAAAACTTTTTTTCGTAATCAATTATGTATCACTAAAAGGAATGTGAAAATATCTCATCATACAATAGAGAAAAAAAATTATTCACCATGCATCAATAATAGATGATTTAAAACATATTTCATCGTAAAATTACAACAGAAAATGTTTTATAATCTATTATAAATTTTCAATGACAAAAACGAATGCAGCTTTCTTATCATTATTATATTACGATTGAAAATTTATTATTATTTATCATACATGATTCATCATGATACATACACTATTCAAAAATGTATTTTATCGTGAAGTTACGGAAAGTACACGGGATAGTAAAGTCCTATTTCTCATAAATAATAAAAACCTTACAGGATAAAGTAAGATGAAAATTAATGAAATTTTTTATTAATATAAAGACAAAATGTTAATGAAGTGATTTCCTTTGAATGAAAATTCTCATAATTATAGCTTTGAAGTAAAAATTAATAAAAAATATATTTTGACATAGTTTTTATTATGTATAAAAATTAATTCAGGAAGCTGTGATAAATCCTAAAAGTTATATGTACCAAAATACATAATTAATACAGTAACATCCGAAATATTATCAGAAATATAAAAACCTAAATTTACGATAAATTTCCAAACATTTATGATTATTAATTATAAAAAGAAATAATATTGTAATAAACAGAATAGTTATGAAAAGAAACGATATAGATCATTTGTGCGGATATTTTTATTAATAATAATAATAATAATAAATTGAAAAACATTATCTGTCACATTTAAGAATAATTTTATTCATCTTCAATTTTACGAGTTACAAATTGTCTTTTCATTTCAAATGTAACAATACCAACAGCTACACCAACGTTTAAGCTATCAACGCCATTAGTCAATGGTATATTAACACGAGTGCAATTTCTTGAACGTAATAATTTACATGATTCGAGACTTATACCTTCGGTTTCTCCACCAATAACAAATACTACTTCTTTTTTTGTAAAATCTAATGCATAATAAGGTTTAACTGGAAGTTGAGATACTAACTGTTTTACCAGCAATTTAGTTTTTGCAGTTGATTTATATGTTTTAGTTTGATCTATCAATTCGTTTATCGTATTATCTTGAATTTGTTCATTATGCGCATCTAGATTATCTTGTTTCACACAATTATCATTAACTTCGATAGAAGGTTCGATAGAACCTTCATTTGTATTTGGATTCAGCTTAAAATCTGTCAAAACATTTTCATATGCTATATTGTTGTCTGCTAGAAAAATTGCAGATTCGTCACTTATTAACGTCGGAATTTTATCCCATGAAATAGATGTAGATATTGGTAAACGAAAATGTGCACCTATAGCACTGCGCAAAACTTTGGGCTCCCATAAATCCACACATCCTAAAGTACAAAAATCTGAATTAATGAAAAACTATATACTATGGAATTAATCAATTGGTAATAGTGTAAAATACCTTTCATTAATAATAATTTTTCGCAACCAACAGCAGCAGCTGCTCTTACAATAGTTCCCAAATTTCCTGGTTCTCTTATATTGTCACAGATAATAGTCAAAGGTATAGCATTCTCAGCAGATTCCTTAGTATTTACATCTGGGATTTCGAAAATTCCTGTATCAAAAAATAGTACAAAAACCAAAATTATATAGATATGTGTGTACTTTGAAAGATTATTGTTAGTTTTGCTAATTGTAAGTAATCTCCTTCAAGATCTATGAAATTATAATATTTACCAATTATCCCAGGAGAAGTTGTTAAATTAGACCACAACTGAATTGTACGATATGGAATTTTATATAGTTTCACTTCCTTCGAAAGTGACAGTGGCAATACATCGGATAATCTACTAAAAAATATTACTTTTGGTACTATTCCTGCCTGAATTGCATCCTGAATTAATCGAAAGCCTTCTAATAGCATTTGACGATTTTTTTCTCTTTTATTTTTTGTCTTAACATCTATCATTAATGAGCTGAAACATGAAACAGATATGTATTGTTTACAGAACTATACTTTTCAGAAGTCGTTTGAGCATTATTCAGAAAATTATATACCTTATGAGTTTATCATCTGCGTCAAGGGCTATATATTTTGGTTTTGTAGTAGTACTTTCTTCAATTTCATTTTCTTCTTGCTCCTTTTTTTCTTCTTTTTTAGCTGTATTGATTCTTAATTTCCTTCTATGTGTTCGAGGAGTTCTTTGCTCCTTAGTTTTGGTTGTATCATCAGTATCAAAAAGTTCATCTTGATTGACGATAGCAACAGGTCTTCGACTAACCCATTTAGTACCATATTTGCATTTTGTTGTTGATCTTAAATTGACTGTTCTTAAAAGTTTCGTGCCGTGAATCGATCTAAGTGATAACTGTACTATACTTAACATTCTTATTTTGAATAATCCAAATGTCGTGTACTATTGTCCATTGACATTTACTTTAATAATCACTATATTATAATGTTTTATGTTAATTTTTTTTTATCGACAAAATGGTCTACTTTAATTACCTTGCTAATTCAAGATATCAAATCTAAATATCTAAATGGTAAATAAAAACCGCATGTTCTCACATGTACATTCGGCACCACGAAGTATTGAGTAATAAGAAGGAGATCAAATTTGACTATCAAAAATGGGCTCGAAACATGAAAACTTAGGAAAACACATGGAAATGATGCGGGATAATGCGATTTGAGTGCTATTGCGGCAAAAGCTAGAAGTATGTATCACATGACACCGACGAGATACTAT